CCTCCTGACTGCACTTAATTCCATACCCCACATCGCTCTGTTTGTGTCTGGGTGTTTTGTCCTTCGGGTGGCCCAGCCTCTGCCGCAGGGTGTTCCCTGGTTTACAGTTAACTGGGATATTGTGGTTGTGAAAGATACTTTTTAACTTCTCTGATAAACCAGCCACATAAGGGATGACAGTGTTATCCCCTCTTGTTTCTGGTGTCTCCCTGTTGGTGCTGGGCCTCTTCCTTGCTTTGGTGAAGGCCCACTTGGGGTATCCACAAGCCCTAAGGGAGTTCTGGATATGTAGTTCAAATTTTTTCATCCCTTCTGCAGTTGTGGGCACTTTCTTCGACCTGTGATTTAGGGTTGTGATAACTCCAAATTTGTGTTGCAGTGCATGGTGTGAGTCAAAAAGAAGGTATTGGTCTGTGTGTGTGGGTTTCCAATATTCTTCCACCTTAAGGCTTCTGTATCCTTCTATGTGGACCGCACAGTCCAAAAAAGGCCAGACAGTCATCTTTGGCACCCTCACAAGTGAACTTGATGTGCATATCCACCAAGTTGATATGCTTGGTGAAAGCCTCTACCTTCTGGATCCTGATTTTAACCCATGTGTCATCCACGTAGCAGAACCAGTGGCTGGTGTACCAGTGAAGGAAGACAGGGCTTTCTGCTCAAATTCTTCCATATACAGGTTGGCAACTATTGGAGACACAGGGGAGCCCATAGCACAGCCATGTTTCTGCCTATAGAAGTTAACCCTTAAACTGGAAGTAGGTAGCGTTTAAACAGAGTTCCAGAAGGGTGCATACTTTTCAGGAGTGAGGTTAATCCTGTTGTTCAGCATGTCATCCTTCAGCAGTCTCTTCTTCATCGCCTTAACTGCCTCTGTGGTGGGGATGCACATGAACAAGAATGTGACATCATATGAGACCATGGTCTCATCCTGGTCCAGCTGCAGTTGTCTGACTTTCGTAGTGAAGTCCTGAGAGTTTATTATGTGGTGTTGTGTGATTCCCAGCAAAAGAACTAGAATGGTGGCCATGTGCTTGGCTATGTTGCATGTCACGGAGTTGATGCTTCTGACAATGGTTCCGAGTGGGGCTCCTTCCTTGTGTACTTTGGGTAGGCCATAAATACAAGGGATGGCCTTCTCGGGGTATAGTCTGTAGTATAGTCGTCGGTCAATAACTCTCTCCTTCCCCAGTTTCTGTAAACAGTATGTGTGATGTGGTGGGGTGTCTCTCACCAGGGGGTAAGAGAGAGAATAAGGACTCAAAATGCAAAACACAGGGCTAGGTGGAAAAAAAGAGTCTTTATTGCCAGAACTGAAGCAGGTGGAAAGGACAAAGTCAATGGGTTATGCGTGGTCCAAACCAGAGTTGAGTAGTGGAGGCTGAGAAGACCCGGA